TGATTTGAAGGTATAATAGATATATAATCATGAAATGTATTCATCTTCGATCGTTTTCTGATTTAAATTAAGGAAACAAAAACTACATATTCGATCAGATCTATCTAAATATTACCATCATACTGATTCTATTGTGAGGCTATGGTTACTACACCTAAATCTAGTTAATACTATTCTGTGTTTTTTATTTAAAATACAATTTAAATATTTTTCAGGTTGTAACTGTGTTTTATATAAACGATAATTATCTAACTTGGAGCTGGACACTAAATTCTGAGACCAGCCCTGAGCGTTACAATCGATGAGTCTTTGTTTGAAATTTGAAATAAACACATTTTTATCTCCAACAAATTGACAGTTATATACATATCCGTAACCGTAACTGAATAATAAGAGTTTAACATATATTGCCCATGTTACTCTACCAGCCCCATCCAATATAATTAACATATCATAACAGGCTTTTGGGTACCTAAGATTAGATATTTCCAGCAGGTTCAAACAAAATTTGCTACATTTTATCATATAATTTACAGAGATGGGATGTCTGCCCAGTTCACCATATACAGCCGAATTACTGGTACATGAATTAACATTTAATACATATTTACAAAAGTTAAGATGCAAGGTTTCAATTTGTACATATGATGCATGACCCCAAACTTTTGATCTGTAACAAAGTATAGGAACAACCACTCTATCAAATAGGAATAATGAATTGTTGACGCTGGTGTTACACTTTTTGACAAAATAGTTTCAACAACTTACATACTTTTATAGCTTGTGATACGAGAGTCATGATACCGTCTGACCAACAGAGTTTTGGAGTGAAAATTATACCAAGATATTTATAACTGGAGACAATCTCAACTTCGGGGCCGTTTAGGTACCATTTTTCATTACCTTTAATGATTCCGCCCCTTCGAAAGACTACAATTTTAGTTTTATTCAAATTGACAGACATACTAAATTTGTTACAGAAATCTTGAATGCAATTGAGTTGAGATTGTAACCTTCCCACAGTATCAGACATTGCAGAAATATCATCAGCATATTCGAGTGAAATTATATTATCAATATTTTGATTAACAAATATGCCTTGGCAGTTATGAGACTTAACCATTTAGTCTCATTTAAAAATAATACCAATAATAAAGGACTTAACATGCAACCTTGTCTAGTACCAATCGTGCAATCGAAGTACTCAGTTTGACACAATTGATCTAATTGGACGCATGATTTTAAATTTTCATACATTGATTTTATTACTTGATACAGTTTACTACTTATATTATTTTTGATTAAGACATATTTTAGCAGATGATGCTGCAAACTATCATAGGCTCGGGAGAAATCAACAAATAAGCAATAAAAGCGGCCATATTTCTTCGACAGGTGCTTCTGGGCAAGTGCTTGCAAGGTAAAAATGTGGTCGACAGTGCTATAATCCTTTCCTGTATCCAGCCTGGCTCTCAAGAAGTATATCCTGACTTTCACACCAGTTGGCTAATCTGGTATTTAATATCTTGGTGAAGATTTTTCAAATAGAAGAGATGAGTGATATATTCCCCTGTAGTTGGATGGGGCTTTCGGATCTCCTTTCTTTAGGATTGGATGGATTACAGCTTTGAAACAACTTTTGGGAAACATACCAGAGGACATGATTGAGTTGAATATAACAAGAAGATATGGCAAGATGACTTCTATGGATTGCTTCTTTACTTCATTGACTATACCATCCGGACCTGGAGCTTTGGAGTTTGGTAAGTTTCTTACAGTTGACACGATTTCTGCTCTGGTGATTTCTGCATCAAGTGTTGGATTGGAGTTGTTGTTGGTGTATCCATTTAGTGTTTGTGGAACATCCAGCTCAAACTCCAGCTCGTCTAAAATGGGTGTTGTCTCAGTAAAGAGAGCTTCGAAGTACTTGAACCATCCATTTGCTTCGATATTAACAGTTTAACTTGCTTGGTTCTTGTGCATCTTCATCATCTTCCATAGCTCCTTGGTTTCAAAATGTTTTTCGTGTGCCAGTATTTGATTAGCTTCAGATACTTGTGTAGATTTCTTTGACTCACAACAAGCTTTAAATCGTGCCTTCAGTTGTTTGTATTTCACCACATAATCTTCAGAATTATTGTTTCTATAAACATCGAGCATGTTATATTTCATGTTCTTGAGATGCTGGCATTCGTTGTCCCACTATTGTGGACCCCTGTCTTGGATTTGTTTTATAATCCGAAAATCCGATTGATGTTCACAGCCCCCTTTTAATGATGACTTCCTTCAGAACACAGTTAATATCCATCGACATGCTTTATAAGAGTTACTTACCTTTAACTAATATTTCATTGTACTATATTGTAAATTTTTAAATTTGGTCCCAATAGGAGGTGGAATATATTTCTTTTGCAATCCACAAATCTTGCCAAAAATGCTATTTGACAGATCAGTGTGTATGCCAAAGGTAAAAGAGAGCATTGGCTTTCATGGTTTTTAGATCTTTGCCACGTGACTTCATCGGCAAATCCATATACTTCGCTTTCGTTTTTCTATCAGGCACAATTTGCCAAATGTCCTACGAGGACTTAATTGAGGACTGCCATTTTGGTATTTTGGTTGTTTTCTTGTATATATCAAAAAATACACCCACCTCTTATGCATATGCTAAAGCTGTAATACTTATCATATATTTTATATATTTTATCAGTTGACATCAAATGCACGACTCTACAAGCTGAGCACAATACGAATTTTCTAAAAGGGGAAACTGAAGCCGCGGTCCTTAAAAAAATTCCTCACTGTACACTGCAAATTTTTAACGATCTTTATTGGAAAATTGGACTCAAAAGGCCATATTATTCTTGTGATTTATGTTAGCATTTCATTTTTTTGGGGGTAAAATCGGCCAATTTAATTCGTGAAAACAAACTATAGCAAATGAATGATTTTGTATATGTCTATTTTATACATCTTCAGTGGCGGCACCAAATTGTAGAGACAGGGCCATGTTCCACTCCAAATAATACAATAATTCAATTTTATTTGGAATCGTAAAAATGTAATAATATTGAGAATACTATATCAAAATGCATAAGAGCCAGGATTTAAACCTTTTATTTTCAAAAAGGGCACCTCTCAAGAATATAATTCGAAAACAAAATTGCCCCTTACTCAATATAGAGTTCTGTGGCCTCTGTGTTCACGTGCTGTCTTTTCATTGCCCAAACTCACTCAAACCTTATCATAAAACTCTGATCAAAGCAGCTTGTCCTCCCAGTTTCTAATTTCTTATCATTGAGTTCTTGAATGTCTGGTGCTGCCTCCCCCTCCCCTTCCCTCCTCCTTCACTTTTCAAGGGCGTTGCTTAGATATCTACTAAAAGAGGTCTTGGCATAGGCGTACGGACCGAAGGCCTGCTGGGGTGTTGGGCAGGCATGTATACCCGAAAATTTGTTGTGTTGCTCGATATTTTTCGGCGGATTTTCATTTCAATTGAGCATCTGCCAGAAGTTTTTTGGTAACTGCCCAAGAATATAATATGATTAAATCCATAAGGTACAACTGTGGAATTAATAATAATAAACAGTTTACAGTCATTATGAAGAAATACCAGGAATTTCACTAGTATTTTATTATGAAACAAATATAATCGAATACATTTTAAAACATTATTGTTAACACAGTCAGTAAACTTTCACGATTAAACACCCC